TAAGTATGTTATATCAATCTTGTTTTTTAAAAGGTCCTACCTGAATCTGTGATAAAAAAGTAGGGCATACCATTCGAGAACAATCAACTTTGATATGCGGGTCAAAATTGGGACACCCTTTATAATTGTGAATACTGAAGAAATATGCTCCTCCAGATACTATATATAATAATCCTTAAAGAGTTTTCTCTAAAAACTTTATTTAGGAGCAATACTCTGTCCTTGCACGGTTGGGACACCTGTAAATACCGGGGCACCGCGACTGCTATAAGGAACTTGAAGAAACTTTATTAATCCGACTTTTGAACTACCTAATGTTAGCAGACATGCAAAAAACCTCCTCAGGTAGACCGTTCCACAATCTAGACGCCCTAAGAATGAATGAACGGTCGTACCGGCCAGTTCCCGATGGGTGAAGTTCGATAGAGTTGGGATAGGAGATAGCCTGGCGGGTCCGTTTTGCAGGTTCAACGAACATCGGGATCATGCAGGAGAGCTCTGAGAAACAAAGCCTTTTAACATAGTGGTAGAAGAGAGCAAGATCGCCGACCGCTTGTCTTTGCAAAAGAGTCCCGCGGCTGTCCGTTAGAGAAGTGTCATTGATCTGTCGAATAGCCTTCCTCTGAAAAGCATCGGGTATGGGGCGGTGGAATCCCAATCTTGTGAGCAGTACTCGAGCTATCTGGCCTTGTACAGAGTGAGTAGGTTGTGCGGAGAAAAGTACTTCTTAGCCCTAAACAAATAACCTGTCTTTTACTGGCAGCTGTTCAAGTCCTCGGTGATCTGGACTTGACCAGCCGAAATTAATGGCTCTTTGGCAGAACTCGGTCATCCATCGAAACGGGATGAGCGGTAGGGCGCTTCATGTTAGTCAACGCACAGCACTGTGTGTTGGAAGCATTCAACTGTACCAAATTGTTGCATCCTCAAGTAGTGATAATCTCTAGGTCTCCGTCCTTGTCGTCTTTCTCCAGATCACCGGCAGAGATGAGAGTGATGTCCTTAGCAAACCTGTGGATCTGATTGATCGTACAGGAAAGTAGGTCGTTGATATGTAAGAGGAGCCAAGATCAATCCGTAGGAACACCCACGTTGATACTTTGAGACGGTTCCAAAAGAAATCTATGGTATGAAACTGCCAATATTCAACAGTAGGTATTTATAAGCAGGGCGGTACCTGAAGATTCAAATCAGATAGTGAGTACTTTTCAAATTTTCCTTTTTACATTTGGCTTTGTTATTTCAAGCGTAGTGTCCTTCTGAATAGAAATGTCTAAGTTATCAGAGCTCTCGTTATACTAACATAATTGTCGAATCTCACAAGGTATCTTCTCTGCGTATCTTATGCCTACTGTCCACAGCAACACTATGACGTGATGAGGCCTTTCTGGGAATGGTTTCTGAAATAAAATAGGGTCTTTTAACATATTTGATTTATCCAATATCTGTTAATCCCCGCCATCTAATAATATGCAGCCAAGTAAGCACTGGGGTACCTTCCAAAGTTTGGCTCAGACACCTTATTTGGTCTCCAAAAAGAGTTTCTGAGCATTTCCACTTTTTCTAAGAACCAAGAGAGCAGGATAAGCTGCGCTCCAAAGTTTGAACATATACTATAATTTCACGTCAAAATTGACGCAATAAGCGCACTACTATTCGTCATTGTCTGTCAGAGCGGTCCGTAGGACCTTTGCTCTTGGTTGAAGTCTTGTAAGTCAGTAGGTCTGTCAGGTCTGGTTGCCTAGATAGTCAGGGAGAAAGAAGGGAAGAAGAAAGGAAGGAAGGAGGAGGGAGAGCAAAGAAAAAGAAGTGCATCAATTTGAGGAGTGCCTTGGTATTGCTAGTTAGTATTCGACAATTTTAAATTGATCCTAAAATTAATTTGGGATTGGTTGTTCAAGAAAAAATATAATTTTGGTTGGACCTAAAATCGCACGATTTAATTTTGTTCACAGTGCGAGTCGCGGCCTTGTGTGCTTGCGAACTTGCACGACTGTGTAGTCTACTGACTCGGCAATAAGCGCATTCACGCTTCTCCTGCTTCTGCCATTGAGGTAAAAATCACCTCCTAACCTTGACAGTGCGATGTCAAATGTATGGTCATGTTCTATCGGTACCATTGAAAATGGGTCTGAGTCCCGATTTTATGGTCGATTTCTTGTGAAATTATAAAGAAAAATTATACGATTTGTGTGTTGGACCCCTACTCCCTCTATTTAATCAAGAAATACGTCATAATCACTTGGTTATCTACAAATCTTTTCATTTGCATCCGGACACTAAATGAGAGGTCACAATCATATAATGCGCCTATGAAAAAGCATGGACACAAATCTAGATTGATAAGACAGCCATCAAATTTGCATTATATTGAAAATAGCAACGTCTCACTGCGCTGTGCAAAGTTCTGCTTGATAAATTCTTTGAGGACATACATACTCGTAAAATTACAGTATGCTTATTCTTAAGCAAGTATCTCGCGCCCTCTACTGGGCTGTAGGACAACTACTTCTAGCCTTGCCATCGTCCCCGCGGCGCTTCGTGGTCGTGTAGTCAAATTACCGTTCAGTAGAGTCTTCCTGATAACAGTAAGTAAATTGATGATTTACTCGATGTTAGCTAAGTAATTGCAATTATTTTCAATAAATGCTCATTAATGACGTCGTGTCAATTTCTTGTACCAAGTAGGCCACAAATCCTTTCTTATTGACGGAATTTGTTTAGACTTTTGTGTCAGGACATAAATGAAAAAATAGGTTTTTGTAGATGAATGATGTTATTGATATATGAAGTATTTTTTGATTTAATATGAGAATAATTAGGAGTCTATCTTTAATAAGTCGAGTATAATTTCGATCGATCGACAAAATTCATTAGATCCATTACTTTAAAGAGGCCGACTTACTGGTCCAAATTTTGTTTCCATCGGTCAGTACTAAAATCGGTCCTAAATTTTAAAAGTAATTTTGTCCAGCGGGACCCTGAAACTATACAATCAGAATTCCAGGAGTCAACATGGCTATAACCTTTCAGCAGGTTGGGTTAGTTGTGTGCTGATTATTTGAGATTGACTTACGTGGTCTGTAAAATTAAGAGATGAGACTGGCAACGTAGCATTCGATCTGGTAACACTGGAGACGCGAGGTATAGAGGGGAGACAAGGGAACATCTGATCCGCCTTCAGTACAAGTTTGAGCTCGCTCAAGTCATTTGCTGTCCGTAGCGATTTTTTTTTGTGAAACAGTTTTTTCTATTGTGTCCTAAAACTAGCAACGGTGTGCTATCAAGTTTTGCTTCAGACTTGGGCACAGTGCAACGAAAATCCTTGCTCAGCAGGCATACGGAGATAGTGTTTTGTCAACAGCCCAGGTTTTTCGGTGGTTTATGGCATTTCCAGAAGGGCGAGAGTCGATTGAAGATGAACCACGAACAAAAGTGATTTATCTGTAAGCAGCGATGAAAATATCGACAGAATCCTGGATCTTGTGCGTTCATATCGTCGGTTGACAGTCAGAACGACCAGGGAAGAGTTCATTTTTGACTCACACCAACGTTCTTATTCGCCTGACTTGAGACCTTGTGACTTTTTTCTCTTACCGAAGTTGAAAAATCAGCTTAAGGGACCTTCAACCGGCTGTAACCGACCAGCTGAACGCTATTCCCGTATCGGAGTTCGGAGTTCCAACATCGCTATGAGGAGCGGAAGAACCATCTCCAGCGCTGTGAGGCTTCAGAAGGAGGTTATTTTGAGGGTGACAATATAAAATTGTAATTATATTTTAATAAAAAAAAATTAAAAATAAAAAGTCAGGCCTCGTACGAATAACAATAATCCTATAATTATAAAAAAATGTTAAATCTCAACACATCCCAATTCCCTAACATTACAACTCACCATGATACTTAGCCCTCAGACAGGTTAAACTAGTGACAATCCTTGCCCGGTGCGACGCTTTCTTCACCCCCAACTCCTTGACTTCCCTCTCTGACAGCTCCAATAATTCTTCTACTCCAGAGAACTTCTCGAACGCCGCCTTGTACTCCTCCAGTTCAAGGTCGCGCAACCATACGTCGATATCCTTGTGTTTGCCCCGATGCCCGGTAGGCGGCGCACTGTTGGGCGGAGCTGGAAGGCTGTCTTTGGTGATGATGGGCGTGGCATTATGTTGGAGGCGGTACTTGCTGGCGCGCAAGGGGAGGGAACCGAAGCGGGGCCAGGACAAATCTAGAATTTAAGAGAAAGCATCATTGATATAGAATATCTAGGGGAATATGGCTTAACGTCGATGGTCACGGGATCAAGACAAGGTTTTTCTCGTACAAATTGAGGTGACATATACTGAGTGACAAAAAAAGGTAAACACCTACGTATGTTTATTAGAATTCAAGAATTTTTTATACATCGATTTATCTTGCCATGATCAACAAGTGATAGAATGGTCAGGTTTTTCTGTTAGGTTTTTGTGGTGGCTGCGTGTATTGTTTGGTGATAAAGAAACATTCAGTTTCCTACATTTACGGTGTCAGTCAAATGTTAAATTTCGTGTAGCTTATTGAGAAGCCTTTTTGTGATTGCTCAAAATGTCTAGAGTGCGTAGAATTCGCCGGGTGTCCCAGCTAAGTGACTTTGAGAGGGGTCGAATTGTTGGGTTGCGTGAAGCCGGTTTATCGATAAAAGAAGTTTCTAGGAGGACGAACAGATCCTTACGCAGTATACTTCAGTGTGAATGAGCGTCGACTCAGGAAGATCGAGGATAGCGAGCGAGGGGTTCTGGACGTCCCAGAGGGACCACAGAGCGACAAGACCACCGGTTAAGACTTCTGGCTCTCAGAGACAGATTCAGTAGTATTCGAGTCATCGCTAATCAGTGGTTGATATGCGTATGGTATATCGCCGAATACGATAGTGTGGCCTTTTTTCTCATCGCCCACATTGGGTGCTTTAGTGACGAATCCCGCTTCTGTCTGGAGATGCACGATGGTCGGGCAAGAGTGAGAAGACGACGTGATGAAAGACGTAGCCCACAATTTAACAGAGAGCGTCACGTTCACCACACCTTGGGAGTTATGGTATGGGGTGCTATTGCTTATGGTAGCAGATCACCACTAATTTTCATCAGAGGCAATATTACAGCCTGTCGCTATATTCAGGAAGTAGTGGAGCCTCATCTTATTCATACCTAAATACCATCCAAAACCCGATTTTTCAGCAAGACAATGCCAGACCGCATGTTTCCAGACCATCGTTAGCCTTCATGGATCAACATCGCATCAACCGTTCACCTTGGCCACCACGATCGCCTGACCTATCTCCAATTGAACATGTCTGGGAAATGACAGGTCGCAGGCTCTTGAATTTGCAACACCCTTCACGTACTTTAGCAGCCCTTAATCACTAATTTGCAGTAGCCTGGAATGAGATACCCCAACAGGTTATCGACCACCATGAGTGTTTAAGAAATCGTGGATCCTCAACACATTATTGAACCAGATTTTGCAGTCAGTTGACGAATCAAGCTGTAAATTTTATCTTTTTACTAGCAAGGCACACTGAACATATATTCCAAAAATTATTAAAATCGGATAAACATACGTACGTGCTTAGCTTTTTTTGTCACTCAGTATACATTTATGTTTCACACAATTTAGCTGAGTTCTGGAAGCTAATGTCATCGTTATTTTGAGGGTTAGTGCCTTGAAGACTAGATATAGGAGGTCAAACTCATGGAGAGGGGTGAAGCCAGAAACGTCGACGATGAGGTACACTGCGCAGCAAATGAATATCAGATGCTGCGCAAGGGACATCGTTCTCGTGTGTACACTGCGGAGAAAATGAATTTCATGTTCTGCGCATGTACCATCTCTCTCTGTTGCTGTCATCACGACTGTAAACAACTCCAATTTTGACAGTTCGATCGAGCTGCAAGCGGAAATATTTTATAATATTAATAAATCACAAATAAATAAACCTACAAAGAATGATAAAACCTGAGTGAAATGCACATAAAGATTGAGGTAGGTTATATTGACATTTTTCGAATGCGCAGACGCTTTGCGGCATGTTCCACGCCCACTAGACTTTCGAGAGCTACACCATCCTTGGTGACAGGATTTGCTTTATACATCTATCCCTTTCGCAGTTTAACCTCCTATCTATCTCTAGTCTTCCTGGCTAGTGCAAATAAACGATGTCTTATGATTCATGTATTCTGAGTCTAGGGAGTGTTAGGTCAAGTAGATTGATATAATATGAGTTATGGAAAAAATATATCATGTCTGACGGCTTGGTATTCTGTTGGAGGCGGTACTTGCTGGCGCGTAGGGTGCACACGCTTCATTCGCGTCATGAAAGCCATCTAAAGCAGCCCAATCCATATCTGAAATTAAATTATATAATTGGGGGAAGTTGGCTTTGCGGAAATTATAAGAATTTATAAATGAAACAGGAAAATTATGCTTAGTATTGAGACTGCTGTTGACATTACAACACATATTCAGGGCAGGGTGATATGGGTCTTCATCTAGCGGATCCCACGAATGTTCAACCTCACACAGACCACTACAGAAAACTAAATCAAGGGTTGTTCAACGATACCAATTTTGCGTTGCGTCCATGACTATTAACAGAAGTGTAGTTAGCTATGTTGAAACCTCCTGTTATAACTAAATTCTTATCAAATAGGACGTGCGATGACAAGATAGCATCATAAAATTGCTCATGTTTTCCATATCAACCCAAATGATAATCACTCTCCGCGTGACGTCATGCGCGCCGGCGGACGAAAATCGAACAGCGGAGCATACGGCCCTGGGTAACGGAATATAATGTGAACAAAGCTTGGTGTAATTAGGGAATTTGAGTCGTTGAATTAGAACATGGTCGTAATGGATTCTAAAGTGATCAGGTGCTAGATTTGGAGCAAACATTTATCATTTATTATGATACGTTTTGATAACAAGATTCTTGCCAACATCTTGGAAACGGAATATTGTCGGAATCGTCGGATTCGAATCTATTTTTGACCGTTTGTTTTTTAGGAACCATGTTTATAAGAACTTTCTATGTTGTTTTTACCTATTTTATTTCATAGAAATATTGCTTGTGTTTTCTTTTTTTGGATCTGGAACATAGTCATGTCTGGTTCAATCAAGGGGTATTTTCTGTGGAGTCATAAAACTGTGTTGTATTTGTATCTCGATGAAAAAAATGATGCGTTATGATTCTCACATTCTGAGAGTGCTAGGTCAAGTAGATTAATGTATTAATTATGAGATATATCATTCGGTATAAGAATTCATCCAATTTTTATGATACGTTTTATTGATTAGAATTCTCGCCAATGTCTCTAAAACGGGGCATTGTCAGATCCATTTTTGCCCTTTACATTTTAAAACCCATGTTGATAAGATATTTACGTTACATGTTGTTTTTAGACCGACTTTATTTCGTCGATATTTCTTGTTTTACGAATCTGGAACATGATTACGTCATAATGACCAGTTCGATATTTCTCTTCACCATACTTCATTGTACCAAAGATATTTTACGTGGCTTGCTATGGTTGTAAATAGTATTATTTTATAACTGTTGTCTAGTTGTTCTGTTGCATGTGTAAAATTTTGCTATGTTTCATCCATATTGTAGTTAAGTTGAAGAATAGACGTCAAGCTAAATGTCGCCATGATGTGGAAGATTACCAATGAATTCATTTTATTATTATTATTATTATTATTATTATCTTCTCTTTAACTAAGAGTTATTTTATGTGGAGTGATAAAACTGTGTAGTATTTGTGAGTAGTACTGTCACGTTCTTACCATCATCGTTATTAAACATGCTAATTACAGTTTCAACATACGATATATTGTTCAAACTGAACCAATATTGCCTAATGCTGTGCAATATTAGATAGGTGCATTGATTATTTTTCTTTAGCTTTAGATTAGATATGGTATCCATGGCGTTATGATAAAAGGTTCACTCCTACTATATAAATAATGTTACTTAACTCGCGTTCAGCTTTTTGAAGCGTTTGTTGCAATTATTGTATTGATCATCCTTAAAAAAACGAACTTTAAGTTTCAATACGAAATATAATCTAAGCATCCATAATGTTCACAAAATCAATCTGAGATTTGTAAAACATGATGTATGTACGGAAATAACGGGTACCAACGTAGTTTTTCTTTCAACGGTGCAAAACAGTAGGGATAACAGCTTGAAAGGACTACCTCTTATCTAATTAAAATGTTGAGCCAAAAATGTTTTCTTTAAATGTTCAGTCTAATGTGTCGTGTATTAATTTTCTATCTTACTTTTAACCTAAAAGTACTTATGTTTGAAGGTTTTCCTGTTTACTGTTTGAATATCTTAGTGGTGTGAAATATGTTTCTTTATAAGGTGGATCTGGCAATGTGCACTCTTTAGTAAACTTAAATTCAAAGTTTCACAACAATCCGTGCAGTGTTCTCACTACAGTGAATTTTTAAGTGTCACCAAGTCATTAGAAAAATGGAACTCAACCGAGAACATTTTCGCGCCATAATTTATTACAACTTTCAGAGACGATTATCGCAACAAGAATGCCTTGCTGAGTTACTGTCTGATTTCGGCAACGAAGCGACACATCAGTCTACAATTACCCATTGGTATGGAGAATTCAAACGTGAACGGGTGAGTCTGAGAGACGATTCCAGGGTGGGTGCACCAAAAACGACAGTCACCCAGGAAAACGTCGATGCTGTGCGCAAACTCATCATTGAAGATAGACATGTTATGAACCAGAAAATAAACTAGAGTCGGCTGTTTGGGTGTTCCAAGCTGAAGAAAAGCCAACAAAAGTCATCCATTCTCGAAGTGGTTCGAAAAAGATGGTCGCGACATTTGTGTCAAAAGCGGGTCTTATTGCAACAATTCCTCTTAATGAGCAAAGCACTGTTACTGTGGATTGGTATACCACCATTTGTTTGCCAAAAGTCATCACCGAGCTTCGAAAAATCAACCCCGAAAAAAGAGTCATCCTCCACCAAGACAATGCCAGCTCGCAAACAGCCCGAAAAACAAGGCTCTATTTAATGGAAGAAAACGTGGAATTATTGGACCATCCTCCATATGATCCCGATCTAAGTCCTAACGATTTCTTTACTTTCCCGAAAATTAAAAACAGACTGCGTGGTCAAATATTGCGGTCACCAGAAGAAGCAGTTGACGCATTCAAAAATGCCATTTTGGATCTTCCAGAAAACGAGTGGAATAAGTGCTTCGAAAATTGGTTCGAGCGCATGCAGATGTGTATTAATCTTCGTGGAGAATACTTCGAAAAGCAATTAAGTCATTTAAAACCACCTACCGTGTTGTTTTATTTCCATATGCAAAACTTAAAAGACATCACTGGTATTGTTCTTAATTCTCAAAAGCAAAGGGTGCAATATCTACTACATGCCCATAGCATACACTCCAAAATATTTAAGTACAGCAAATGCTGTGACAAAATTACCATAAAGAGAGAGGTGCACTTAATAACATGATTTTTGAAATTGTCAACATTTTTGATATTATTAATCATATCGGGTGTTTCAAATTGGAATTTCGGAGACGCTAAGAGATACGAAGTCGCTTAAATAGATGCAAAAATGCATATTCAGGTAACTGCCGCCTAGAAAGTTTCCAAATTCAAATTACTTTCTGAGAGAGGCAGAAAAAACCGATTTCTCACAATATCGTTTCAATTTTTTCCTGACTTAATTTGTAGTGGGATGTTAAAATAAATTGCACATTAACATTGCCACTTTTTCTCCTGTATAAGATGGCATACTTAGAATTTCAATATGACGTTTCGTCTCTTATCCTCCAGCATCTTCATCATTTTTGCTTACTGACGCGATTTTGGATTTTTGCGCACATGAATAGTCTTTAATTCGTATTTCAAAAATGTATCATATGTCATTGATATTCGAAAACTTTAGTTATTTTAGAAAAACAGAATTTCCTAGGTAGGCATTGAAATTACCATAGTCATTTGTTTCGTATACCAGACCAGACCTCACATTGAACATAGTAACAGAGTTTGGAAGACTGAGAAGAAGGAAGATAATAGAACAGTGTACAATGTACAGAGAAAACTTAGGCTTTGCTCTCAAGGTATCGGCCAACATTTTGAACGTCTGATACGATTTATCTCTGCTTATTTATGATTATTATTGTTATTACCCTCAATAAAAATTCCATTTTGTGTTCAGGTTCCCCCATGCCTCTTTATTTTCTTATAATTTTCGCTCCGACAACAAATTCATGGCCAACGAAGAAAATACATCACACTGTACTTAGGACTGAAAAGTCCATTTAAATGGACAAAATTCCAATATAGCGTCCATATGAAAGTACAAAGTTGGTAATGGAAGTCGAAAGAAGAAACCTCGAAGTGAGAGAGGAGAATACGTGGCAATGATAACATGTTCTTTAATTCGAGATCTCAAAATACTTTTTTAAATATATAAAATACAACCTCATTGAAAATTAATATATTCGTTACCATCCATAGACACAACCTTATGTCGATGTTACTAAGAACATCAATAGTAAATAAGATGAATAAGATAGACATATTTAAAAAAGGATGATTAAGTTATAAATATAACCAATAAATAACATTACTATTGAAGATATACCTACAATATTTATCCGTAAGGCATCACATAAAAAAGTATTTTCAATAATTTTTCTAAGCAATGTAAACAAGAGTATTTTGACAAGCAATATTTTTACCTAATTTCCAAAATAGTTGAAGATATAAAAATACTTTAGAGAAAATTATCTTGAGTATTTAAATACGTAAATGAAACTCAGGGGCAAAAATATTTTACAAAATTTTATAATAGTTGCGCTATATCAAATTTGGTTGTGATGCTGCGAAAAAATGCATAGGAGCACGATAAAAGAATTCGAGACAGGAGTAAAATCAATTCAGCTTAAACAAATAGCTATAGAACTACTTACTATTTATACTAGATTTTTTCTTCAATTTACTAGCATTCTTCCCCATTGTGAATCCTCATGCTTCAGCGCTTTTGAGAACCACGAAGTACGTTTCACTGCACATTCTATCAACACACATATGCGACTGATTAGATAAGGGTTTCCCTTTTCTTTATTTACCGAACTTGCCATACGTGTATTTACACCCATACATTTTTCAAATCATATATTTACCAAAACCGTTAATAAACATACGTTTCCATTGCAACAAAGGATCAGGGCTGCCTGAAAATAACTGAAGTCTGCTGAAGTTTTTTATTTAAAAACGTATACATTTTTCATCTCATTTTAGTACCTGACTATTATTTAGATGCAGAAGTTTTTTTGGCAGTTTTGCCATTGTCGAATATTTAACTATTTTTACATAAGTGGTCGCAAAAATTCTTACTTCAAATCGATGACAAGCACAATGAACATAAAACGTAGTGCTTTTCTAGTAATACAGCTCTCGTTCATCTAACCACATACGGTCAACCATGGACAGCTGTTTCGTGGTATTTGGGAACTCTTCAGCATGGTCTAGGCTTGGTCTAAGGTAGGACAACGAATGAAAGCTGAGCAACTATCCTCTATCCAGAGTATAAGGTCTATCGAAATGAGACAGTATAAAGTACCATCTATTACCATTATCAGCCTCTGTGCAAGTGAAAAAGCAATCTCTCGATTGGATAATCCCAGTACGCATTGTCAGCCGGGTCACCACTGTGGCCGCTAGCTAGATGCCGCCGATTCTGGTGCTGGCTATAGACGGCACTTTGTGTTTTCTTACTTCGATAGTGCTTTTCAATAAGCCCCCCTACTACTTATCTTTTAAGGTGAAATTCGGGGCTGAAATTGATGTATATTTTAGCGTAAAGTGGCAGTTGAAAGATTTAAGACGCGTCATCTTGGAAACATGTTTTTTGGAAGGAATGCGGAATCATGCGATACCTCATTTCAAAGTTTCTTATGAGTACCTTATAATGCTAGAATACAAAACCACAATCTTTCAGAATGGCGGACTGGCATGCTGTTAAAGTTCCGTAAGAAGAAGATTGACATTATAATGTGTTGATTAGTTATTGAGTCATAAGGGACTCAATCTACAAAAACGCTCAATTTTGACAGCCTGCCAAAATTGGGTAAATGAGGTATCACGTCACCCCTCATTTTATTAAAAAAAATGTTCAAAGATGACGCCCAACCGCCATACGGGAATATTGAATTGTAATTTTTATGTTAAAATAAATCTATGCATCAATTTCATCTCCCCGAATTTCCACTTGATTGACATGTTCGCGGCCCGAAAAGCAAAAGTTAAAATAAAAGAATACACAAATTTAATAAGAGTCCATTTGGCTGAATATCTCTATCGCTTTGGATTAAATTTTGGTCCTTCGACTATTCTCGAGTTCAGTTACCAAAACGGTATTATCTGCATATGATGTTTTGATGTTAAGGATTTCCATTGTGACCACAAAATCAGAAATACTCATGTGTGAAATTTAAACGATGTTTAGTCGTGTAACTGTGTACTTAAAATTAGTTACCCACCAGCTGAAAAGTAATGAGACGCAGTATAATATAGCAAATTGCGCATTATAATTTAGTACACATTAGATACCTCGAAACGATAAGTATTTGCATACCCAGCTATAACTGTGGTGATAATGATACAGAAGCTATTTGTTCTCTTGTTATTGTGAACTATGCAAAATATGAATATGTTACTGATCAGCAACAAATTGTAATAAAAGCAATACAGCTATGCTTCTGACTTCAGTATGTCAACTTAAAGCGTGACTGCAAATACGAGTAAATTCATTTAGTCGTACGCCCGCTTGGATTTTAAAAAACTGCATACATTTTTCATTACCTCTATCATAGCGAAAGGTAATAGACAAACAATTTCATCAAAAATACGAATGGTACTTTTCGACGGAATAATGGGGGTATTTTCCTAAATTGTGAATTATTTGTTACACTTTTTTCATGAATGAAGTACAAAATAGAAATCTGGCACCAAAGCTGTGCCGTAATATAATAATCTTTTACACCTTGACCCCAGAATGTCACTCTACCTCTGTCGAAAAAGCATATTCTAGTGACTGATTAGTTCGACGGGAAATAACACTTGAAAGTTTTTACTACCTACGCCACTGGCGAGGAAGTATTTTAATCGCAAAATATTTCTAAAATGAGATATTTTCATAGATATTTGGGATGTTATATGACATACACAACACAAAAAACCATGTCACTCATTTCCGTTGGTTTGTCTGACGGTATAACGTGGACAGTACTGATTAGATTTTAATCGAAGCTTCACACAAAAAAGCTTTGAGATTTTTGAAAATCTGTCCAGTGATAGACAAAACTTCAGGCGGAAATGAATTAAAAATGACTCAAATTTCATTTTTGACATATCAGAGGCTCTTGATCACTATAGGAATATTTTTCGCGAGGGTTAAAAATGCGGGGTTGAGGGTTATAGCAGGGCCAGGAGGAAATATCTTCATTTTTGACGTTATAAGCTTCTAGTCCCGGTAATTATATGCATCTATCAGAAATATTTCACGTTAGCCCTCAAGACTTGAAATATTTGGTCGCAAATTCTGAGCCCCCACCCTCCTACCATCCCACAACTTTTTTTTTAATTTATCAGATGGACCCTCCCCAAAAATGTTTACTAGATCCGCCCCTGGTGTAAATTGACTGAAACATGATCTAATTGTTTCCCATGGTATCAAATATTTGCCGATAAAAAATCATTATCTGGTGTGTGCTGCAAAAGCTATTGCTATTACATAAAATAAATTACTAGATACATATTTATAGTAATCATCATGATTCACAAAAAAGTAGAGTCAACTTACTTGATTACATTTTTTCAATGTACTAATTTCAAATGTTTCAGTTTTCCAACTCGCATGTGGAAAAGCGAGCCGAAAATTCATCAGCCCTGTAAAACGGATGCCAACAGTTTTTCAAAAATCATCATTGCTTGGTTAGGGAGTACTCCATCCCGTTAACAATAGAATGTTGCAGATTCCCAGTCAAATATGAGTCGTTGGACAGTCGACAAACGGACGTATATCAAGCCATGATATATAAAAAAATGGCGTCCGGTAGGTTGACTCTGGACGTCCCACGCAACGTTTTTTTTTTTATATCGAAACAGCCGCGCAGGCAGAAGCCTAAATGCCGGAACACCGCGGCTGCTATGATGATCCCAAAGAAATTTTGTTAATACGATTTTTGAACTGCCTAAGGTTAGTAGAACTGGGAAAAGCTTCCTCCCGTAGATTGTTCCACAATCTAGACACCCTCGGGACAAAGGAGCGGTCGTATCGGCCAGTTCTGGATGTACGAAGTTTGACACGGTTAGGATGGGACGCCGAAGTCAGGCGGGTCTGTCTGGCAGGCACATCGCGCGGCGGCATCATGGAAGAGAACTCTGAGGAGCAAAGCCCGTTGGTGTAGCGATAGAAAAGAGCTAGATCGCCGACGGCCCGCCGGTGCGAAAGAGTCCCGAGACTGTCTGTTAGAGAAGAGTCATCGATCAGTCGGACCGCCCACCTCTGGACAGCATCGAGCATGGACAATGTAGTCGGGGCGGCAGCACCCCAAATGTGTGAGCAATACGCGAGGCTAGGCCTTATCTGGGCCTTGTATAGAGTGAGAAGGTCATGCGGAGAAAAGTACTTCTTAGCCCTAAAGCTTTTTCCCAGCAGCTGCAGCTATTGAAGAGATGTGTTCGTGCCAGATCAGGTCCTAGGTGATCTGGACTCCGACCAGCCGAAATGAATGGCTCTTTGGTAGAACTCGACCATCCATCGAAACTGTATGAGCGCTAGGACTCTTTTTGTTCGTCAAAGTACAATACTGTGTTTTGGAAGCATTGAACTGTACAAGATTGTTGCGTCCCCAAGCAGTGATAGCCTCCAGGTCTCTTGTCAGAGAAGAAGTCGTCGCTAGTCTTCTTTTTTCCAGCTCAGCGGCAGAGATCGGCTTGTCACTCTGAATTCCTGCATGTAGAATGCTGTCATCAGCGAAGCTGTGGATTGGGTTGATCGTGCAGGAAAGGAGGTCGTTGATATGTAAGAGAAACAGTGTTGGAGCCAAGACCGATCCCTGGGGAACACCCGCGTTGACGTTGTGGGATGAAGCGGAGAATCCGTCAATTACGACGGATATCTTGTGGCCAGAGATAAAGTCAGCCACCCATCTGCAAAGCTTTTCTGGGAAGCCGTAGGATGGAAGTTTGCTTAAGAGGGCAGCGTGCCACAGCTGATCGAACGCTTTCGTGATGTCAAGAGCAACGACATGAGCCTCACCATGAGACTGGATGAGTTTACTCCACAGTTGCGTGACGTAAGCTAGGAGGTCCCCTGTGGATCGTTGGTGCCGGAAACCGTACTGCCTGTCGCTAATCAAGCTGTGACGTTCGAGGTAGTCCAGAAGCTCGCGATTTATGCACCTCTCCATCACTTTACTTATAACAGAAAGCAGAGCTATAGGCCTGTAGTTGTAGGGGTCGGTTTTAGATCCTTTTTTTGGGATGGGCTGTACATGAGCAAATTTCCAGTTTTCTGGGAAGGTGCCGGATTCATAAGATATCTGGAAGAGACGCGAAAGAACTGGAGCAAGCTCCGCTGCACATCTCTTCAGTACAATGGCAGGAATCAGGTCCGGACCAGAAGCTTTGTTGATGTCGAGCGACAAGAGCACTCGTCTTACGGTCTTATGCCTGAATGTTACCTCCCGCATAGTGTGGGGAACCCTTTGAATTGACGGTACTTGGGCGTTGGTGGGGACGTCCATGGTGGAGTTGGCTGCAAAGATCTTGGCTAGCACTTCCGCCTTGGCCTTTGAGTCGAATACAATAGTTCCATCCTGACACGTAAGTGGCGGAAGGCTACTGTGTGAGAAGTTATTTTCAATCTGCTTGGCCAGCGTCCAGAAAGACCGACTGCCATTGCGCTGCGACATTACCCTGTGCCTAACTTTTATATCATGCTGGTTTTTGGCATTGCGAACCGCTTCGTTATATTTGTTTCTGGACTCGACGTCGGCTTGTCTGTTCTC